CGATTACTAAAATTAAAGTTCATAATTTAAGAATTAAATTATAGTGGTAGAAAATATATAAAAGTATTTATAATATTTATATACGTACAATTTCAAAACTATTTTCTGTATAATTTGTTTCTGACTTATCGGATATTTTGATATTATTGACGACAAAAGTTTAAAATCATTGATTTCCTTACCTGTACGTTATTTTTGTTTGACAGAGTTGAATTGTTTGGACCACGTGGCATTAAAAATTTTGTCAAGGTTCAACTATCTATCTATGTGCAACTATCTATGTTGCTGACGTCGACAGACACATACCATTTGTATGTTGTGATTGGATAATTTAAATTAGGAAGCAGTGACATTAGTGAGACTTTATTAAACTAATTTTTTCTTATTTTTTCGTTAAGGCGTGAAATATTAGTTTGTACCGTAAATGGTAGTTGAAATATTATAATGTACTGAAAATGTACTGAAAATGTAAATGTACTTTCAATTTACTGGAAAGGGCAAAATGTACCAGAAAAGTACAAATGTACTAGGAACGGCAACACTGTTGAACCCATTATCGTATCTTACATTAATTTCTATAAGAAAAATTGTTTCGCTTCACGTGTTTTTCGCATTTGGAGTATGATTCTGGAAAGAATTATGCTTATTAAGCGAGGTTCCACTGTAAAATCACTGTAAAATGTTTGTTTTAGAAACCACCCAAATAGTCTGCAAAATTACATTCTATAAAGTAGAATATCATGAAAAATGTAATGAATTACTTATTTTGCAAGTTTTTTTCAATGCAGTTATTACTATTTCTACTATATACATTTAGAATAAAATCTGCAGAAAAATCCACATCATATATGTTTAACACTTATTTTCTGTTGCTAATGAAGATAATTCTGAATAACATAATTTAGTTGCACTAATAACTTGCAATAGTAAAGACTACGTTATAATAAACAATTAAATAGAATTTTTATAATGTATATATTTAATTATTATTATAATAATTTTCAAGTACAGTTAAATGCATATTAAAGAGTTAAAATGATCAATGAAATTTATTAAATCTTATCTTAAGACAGCAACCTTTCACAAGTTTGTCATATTAAGGTAATCACGTGATTGTAAGAATAAAAAATTCTAATGACGACATATAAGTTTTTTCAGAAATATTAATCATATTTGTGTTTCATCTTGCAACAAGGATTAAGAAAAATCAAAATTAAAACAAAAACATCTGTTTTACGTCTACCTAAATTGTACTTCTTGAATGACAAGTAAACTTTAAAGTGGGAAGATTTGCCATTACAGATAATTATTTTCATTATATTAGTCAACCTAACTTAAGTTGAGATTAAATTAGGTTACGTTAGTTTAAGACTTTCTATAAGTAAAAAATGTCATTATGTACTGTACTTATTTTGAGTAAAGCTGCATAATAGTAATATATACACAGTGTAAGTGTGTTGAGTGTTTATTCTTTTACAGCAAAGTATACAAAAATTGCCTGTTATCTCTATATATAAAATTACTTGTCCTGACTGATTGACTCACGAATTGATCGTGGCCAAGTGCAAACCGCTGAAACAAAAGAGGTAAAATTTGATACACCATTAAGGTACGTCATGAAAACGTACACTATGAAAGAATTTTTCGAAATTTCCCCGCGGAAGGAGAGGAAAAGCATTAAGACTTAACCGGAAGAACGGCTTCTACTGTACTATTTTATAAGCTATTTTTTGTTTTTAACTACGTTTAGCCTTCATAGGGTATTAGGTTTATTAAATTGATAACATTTCAGATATTGTTATAAAAATTTTTATGTATTTTGATTTTTTCACCAAATGTACAAACCGTTGTATATTCGAAATTGTTATTGCATATTGGTTCGATTATAGAACGATTGTAATCGTTCTAGAAATTTATCAAATTAAAAACAGTTCGTTTGATTTTCAGCAATTCTCATCATTCTCGGCGGTAGGTGTTATAAACAATTAGTATGGTTGTTGCAATACTGAATATAAATGGGATTTGCTTGCAAAATCTCCGCGCGAGAAGTCGCGGGCAACAGCTCGTAAATAATTATGTTCGATGAATATGAAAGTATGAAATTGAAAGTATGAATTGTATTTGTAGTTTAGGGAGAAAAACTTTCACAATAAAATATTAAATTGTAAAATCTGGAAGAAATATATCTGAAGAATATAAATTTTACTTTGCGAAAATGTCTGATTAATGATGAGATTTTAAAATTTATTTGAAAAAGAAACAGGTTCGTATGTAAAATTGTTTTCAAAAAGTCAAGATCATTCCAAGATAGACTACAGTCGACCCCGTATAACACTGTTGATTATTCCGTTTTATATGAATTCCATGTTGTACGAGTTACTTAGATTTTACAAATACGTGTGCTGGGCTGTGAACGGCTCACGTATTTGTAAAATCTAAATGACTCGTATTTGTATAAAACGGAATTCATATAAAACGGAATAATCAACAGTGTTATAGGAGGGTCGACTGTATAATATTTTTTTACTGCTAATTTCTTACTCAAGTGTAAATAAAATTTATAAAGTAATAGATATATTTCAATTAATTTTTTATTTATCAATTTCAGAGACTGACTTGGTATATGTTAATTACATGTTTCTAATATATTGTTTCTGTATATTACGAATGAACGCACATTACTTTTTAACTTAAACAACAGATTGATTTTAATTTTTTACATGATAAAAAAAATAGCTATAGAGTGACTAATGTATAGACATTTGAAAAGTAATATTCAGTACACGTTTTCTTATTTATAGTAGAATAATTTATGTTATGTAATTTGCATATGCTTTGCGCCTAATAAAAACACAGAAACTTAATTTAACAACGTAGTTCTTCTTTACAAAGTAAAATACACTAATAGAAATATCAATTGGATAGTTTGAAAATCTCTTTGCAAAGTAAAGCAACTGTGAAATTATAAAAAATTGAAAGATTTATGTATAAAATAGCAAAAATAATGATAAACGTCTTGCAAATAAATTCTATACTACCTTTTCTACTGCAGAAAGTCTACTGTTTTATCAAAATTACTGTTTTATTTATGTCTCCATTTCTGTATTATTATTAATGATATTGTTGTTGTTGTTTTTCACGTTGTGGCCATTATGGTAGCTTTTCCCAACGCTTAACGTGGGTTCATTATTGTAAAATGATAAATGGTAAGAAATCGCTCCAAAGCTAACTAAAACAAATATATCATAAGATAAAAATCCTGGACTTACATTCAGAGCTTTACGAGATTTTTGCTTTAACAGAGTGGCAGGTTGATGCCATTACCGCCTACAACAAATAAAAGTTATTTGCAGAAAAATATGAACTTAGAATGCATACTTATTCTTAAATGACCTAAAAGTTTATTAAACAGGCACTTACAAAATCACAATAATACCAAATTATTTAACGAAAACAGGTTTATGAAACGTGCAACGAGATTTGATTCTGCAATAACAAGGTGCTGTTATAAAATCAGACATTTCTCAATCTCAATGCCCTTTTTCGAATAGCTAACACATTGAGAATTAAATAAAACTTTTTTGCGAAATTATTGTGAAGACGATTCGGGATTATAGGCTTATTCCGGGTGAGTGCAATATTAGGGTACATATTAGATAATCAGGTATCAGATTAACCAATTTTTAATCTATTTAAAACAATTTCATGAAAATTCATACTTTTAATTTATAATGTACTTTTGGAAATGCTGATGATGAAAATTTCACTTTTTCTTCGAACCTTCCAGAAATTAAAATTGAAAGTAAGTATACAAGACAAAGAAGAAATTTTAATTACTTTATTTAAAAGTGGTTACAGTAGAACCTCGAAAACTCGGCCTAATGTGGACCGAAGGGTGGCCGAGTTTGTGAAAATGTTGGGTTATCGGGAATGGGGTTTAAAAAAATAAGTACGAGTTTTTCCTCAGAAAATACTGTACTGTACTTGTATGTATTGTTTACTTGAGAATATAACAGAGAATAAACTGCCCAAATACCCTTAAACAAAGGAAAAGTACGTCCTTTATGAAGGCATAGAGCCTTTACTACATGAAAATGAAAATTAATGAATACACTGTGTACAGTAATTTACCTGATAAGACAGACCTCAGAAAAATACTTTATGAGAGCTTTATACTTTTATAAAGCTGTCTATAATGAAAGTTAATTAACTAAGGATTTTCTTGCCCTGCCAGGGTGTGGCCGAGTTATCCGGAGTGCCGGGTTATCGAGAGCCGAGTTTTCGAAGTTCTACTGTATTTGAAATTTCTAAAGTAAGTGTCTTAAGGTCTTATAAACGAAAAATAGTAAATATCTTAAAGATTATTTTCTACTCTCATGTCATACTTTTATGTTTATTTTTTCTTGTATTTGACAAAGCGAGAAAACAAAAATCATATTACTAATATGAAAAACAAATTTATTTTTCAGGTATAACAACATCAGTGAAACTGCAGGACAACAATTTTTAGTTTGCCTCTACTAAAAAATGTTAGTTGTAATAAAAACTATCTCATTTGCTACTTTCTTAATATAATAAAAAAAAAACAGAAACGTAAATAAAATACAATCAGTTTATTTATGTAAAAATATTTTAATACAACAGGTAAACACAATCTATAATTTTAAAATTATTATTGTAGAGAATTCAGAAAATTTTAAAGTCTTAAACAAAAATATATTATTTAATATACTTATACATTTCTACTGGATAACTAATTCGTAACAAGTAGACAAAAGTAAAATAAAATGTTAGCAACATTTTATTAGTATAAATAACATCAAAAAAAACGTAATAATTTCGAGAAATCTCGATTTATAATAATAAAGAAAGATTAACAACTGATACAATTATAACATTAAATTTTTTATGAACAATCCAAATTAAATAAAAATAAACAATGTTGGAAAGTTTTAAAATTGTAAGTTTATTTTATAATTGCAAAAGTAAATTCTCCGGAAACATTTTTCTTTACTTCTGGCTCTATATTTTGTTATTAGCTTTAAAGAATATTGAAAAAATTAAAGAAAGAACAACAGGAACAAAAATCAATGCATGAAATGCAGTTTCTAATGCAATAAGAAACACAATTTTCACTAATATGATTGAAGCATAGATATCTCTATATACAAATAAAATTCCTAAAATGGTTGACAGAGATCCTTGACATATTGGATAGCCGATACGATACAAACTGTCTTTCATCTTTTCATTAGGGGTTTGATATGAAGAACAAATATACGCGTAAGATATGTGTGCCGGATAATTGACGCAGAATCCGACACATAATATCAGACTCATCATAGATAAAATGTCCATGTTTATACCCCAAAGAGACATGTATCCTAATGTTTCTACAATGGTGGATGTTACCGATATTGCAACGAGAACAGAAACGACAATGTTTGGTATGATAACCACGAAAAGAATCATAACCAAAAGTGAAGTGATCCAAAATAAATCCTGAATTGTACGTCCAATTATAATTCCTTGTTCGTACTGAGGTGCGATTATTGCATGAACAAGAACAGGAAAATCGAATTCGTCAGCAATTTTCCACAGTGTTTTTAACATTTCTATTTCAGCTTCTGCAGTTAATGTGTCATTTAGAAAGATATGAAATCTGCTACTTATAATATCGGATCCATCAGAATTGAAGGCGATATCGTCTGTGAATTGTTCTGCTGATTTAAATTTCAGGAAAACATCGCGAAGTCCATCCAGAAAATCTTGTTTAACCGACATGTTGTATCCTCGTAATGAATACTTTGCTAGTGGGTGATTTTGGAATTCTTTGTAATATTTCAACCAAGATACTGTAAATCGAGAATCTGCAATGTACGGAAGACTTTCGAATTTGTTGAGTAGTTCGTCTACTGAATTTTGTACATCTAAATCTGAATAATCAAGTTTGCTGTTAATTACTATATGGTAAGGTAACGTATATCGGCCGAAACTATTAAAATATAATCTTATACCCTGTGTTATTACCGATTCTTCTGGATATAACTTAGTAAAATCTATACCGTGTTTTATAGTTAGAGCTCCCCATATTCCAAATGATAAATTCAAAAAGTAAACGATGATAACTGTTATCTTCATTACATTCATAGATAGAATTTTTCCCAACTTGTCCCTAAAATATGCCATTGTTGGCTCATCAGTAGACGTTTCTTCTTCTGTAGAAGAATATTCGATATCTCCTGTAAATAATATTAACCATTCAGAATATTCTTACAAGATTTTTATTCGGAAAGTCATAGTTAATCATATAGTTAATTTTTTAGTTAATATAGTTGATTATTTAATTATTTAATGTAATATTAATTATCTGCAAAATACGAAAAAAATCATAACTATAAATGAAAATAACAGGTATGATTAAATTATTGAAATGAAAAGTGTTTAGATATTTTATAAAATTACATAATAAAGAAAGAAAGAACCCTCTCAGAGGCTTACATTACAAGAATACCTCTGCGTTTAATGTTGGCATGAAAAGTTTATGCTAGAAGTTCCTAAAACTAAAAGATAGTCTGAATTGTAACCTACATCAAAAACTAGTGCAGCAACGTATAAAAGCTAAGTTCAAATCTTAACTCTAAAATAATAATTGAAACTAATTTTGAAATAATGCGACTTTACTATAAGTCATGCTTAAATAATATATTAAATTATTTTAAATTATTGGCATATACTGTGTGCTAAATACCGTAAAGAATCTGAAATGTACGATTTTTCTGCTGTGTGAATTCAATACACTATAGAGGGGGTGCAGTCACATGATATAACCTCATCGCTCAGCCCACCAAAACAATCGTCCGCCATATTGGTTGCTGATTTGACGTTAAGGTGTGTTATTTTCTGTGTTATCTTGCTCGTTCTCTTATTATGTCAACGTGGAAGACAGGCATCTTACTTGGCTATGCAACCCATTTAAAAGTTAATGATTTAAAAGAAAATTTATTTTATTGGATGGAATCTATACGAAACGATACCAAGGGATTTTTCATCCAACGATTTAACTACGTGGTCCATTATGGAACATGGAGAAAGTAAATTATTTAGTTTTAACAACTAATGCTGTCACACAGGATCAGATGAAGGCATACAAATCACTTGTTGCTGATAATTATTTGATAAGCGGATTTATTCATCGTGAAATTTTATTAAGAGCCGTTCGTAATGATTTAATTTTGCTTGTAGGAAAGGTATATATCTTCATGTGAGACCTTCCATTACTCATAACATAAACTGCGTTATGTAAAATGAATTTAATTTTATACTCAGTCACATTTTAAGTTGATTAAGTTGTATTTCTAATTACCATCAAATTTTTTTTTGGTCTCCATGGTTTTGTGTTGTGCAAGTCTAACAACCTATTATTAAGATTAAATTAATTAGCCTAATAAACCCTCCAATTTATTATTGCCATATTTATCATATCAGGGACTGACTGGAGCAAAATAGACTAAATTTTTACAAAAAGTAGCCTTTAATTAACCACAATCAAGTTTTTAGTAGAATGCATTTCAAGCATCTCTGTATGGATGTATTAGGCTAATTAGTTTAATCTTAATTTATGTTGTGGGCTAGAAGCTTGATTTAATAACCTATTATTGTTTAAATATATTATTAGAAGTAAAGAGCACAGTTTCTTACATTGTTTCTGTACACAGGTTAATCACTCACAAAATCTACGGCAGCCAGCTTTAGTAGTGTGGTTTTAGCTAAGAAAAATGGAGAGGTGATAGATAACTGGGCATTGCAATTGCATGGCTGGACAATCTTCCTTCTGTTTTCGTGTTGGTGCTATTATTTTTGCCATTGCAGAAGGAATTGAAATAAGGAGTTCCCAGAGATGTACTGACCGACCAAATAATTGGATTGTGCCACATGTAAAAGACTGGTTTGTAACCACTACGAAACATAAACTTTATGTCAGCTGCAACTGCAAGCAAACGGCAATGCCTTGAAAAAGAAAATATACAGAAACCTTATTTGTCAAGTGATAAAACTTGGAATACTTGTATAAACAAACCTAGTAAGAGAGAGTTTGAGCAGTTTTTTAAAAAAATTTCTGTTCATAATCCAACTGCTGCAATTTTGTCAGTGATGCCAAGTTACTTCAATTCTTTTACAGACCATGTCAATTCATCTTTCCATAAGAACCTACTTACAACTCTATTTGATGCAAACACGTTTATTATCCGTCACAGAGGAATCGGTAAAGTTTTGCCTGTTAATTCTGGCAAGCCATTCCGTTCGCCTTTGCCGACAAATATTTTCGGTGTTTTTACCTTGATGGTTAATTACTGTAGGAACTCGAAAAATCACCGATCTTTATGCTTTCCGCGGTTGTAATCGCAACCAAATACTACGCAATGAACCATAATAAATTAAAATTGAAAAAATATGAGTTAAATGACAATATCGAGGTCGACAACCAAATTAACAGCAACCAATATGGCGCGTGTTTCGTAAGCGGAGTCTTGTGACGTCACTAGCACTCCCTCTATAGGAAACTTTCACGTTACTAAAAATAAAATAAGTTGTAAGTACTAATTTATTTTTAATACTACATATGCAAAAATATTGCAGGCTACCAGTTTATTAGTATACTGTATATATTTTTTAATTTTAAATTTATATAAAAGTAACTAAAAACAACAAATGTAAATTCTTATAATGTTTTAAACGTTAAATTAATCACATTAAATGTCAAATAATACATAGTTGTGACAAAAAAATGCAGCTGCAATTAATTACTTGATAGTAATTGAGCAATAAAAATTAAGGTTCTGCAAATAATTTCAGATTAACAGTACACTTAAACGAAATAGTTCATCATATAATCAATATACTATACAATTACTCTCAGGCTATGCCAACAGTATGTTAATACTTCTATGTGCAATATCATATAGTATAGAAATTATGGCAAACTTTATATATATATATATATCCAAACTAAAAAAAAGGTAAATGATCTCACTGAAATTAAGACGAAATGTTTGTTGTTGATTTTCTTCTTTGTATCCTGATAATGCCATGCAACCTGCATAAAATGTTATTTGATACAAAAATGTAAACACTACGCTGGTTGCCGAATAATAACAAAACATTCTTATAAGAGGAAAAGATGCCGTCATTCCAATGCAATAAGAAAACAGATTAGTCAACGATGTTAACGTTATAGAAATTCCTGCTTCCCCCAATGTTTCTTCCATACGTTTGTGTACTTTATGCTGGGAGTTTGAAATTCTCCAACACGCCATCAATACGAAGGCATCGTCGATCTCTGTCACTGCATCAAAAAACTTTTATTAATTGAAGAATTCATAATCTAAAAGAGACAAATAAATTAATAAAAGTGTAGGTAATCACTTACCGAGAACTAAGAACGGAATGGTGATGTTCCAAATACTATTTTGAACACCGACAACTGACATGAATCCGAAAGAGGTGACCACGGCCAGACCAGCCGATACGACACTTGCAACACCAAGAAAAGGCTTGCTTTTTGCCCAATTGTTGCTCATACACGTGACAATAGTAAAAACAGAAATAAATGCAACTTGTGCACCGATCATCGGTTTTATATTTTCCACTAATTGCACATTTCGTTGTTCCATTGACCAGTAGTAATCAATGAAACAAAGAATATGTTTAAATTGATAATTTCTTATTCGATTATAAACTTCTGTTCGCCATCTTTCTATCACATTGTGTATTTTCTTGTCGCTCTCGTCTGTCAAATAGATTATTCTAATGGCATTAACTGTTTGAATCACATCGTTCTCGTCTTCGATTACACCCCCAAAGTTGAGAGAATTAATTTGATAAGAGTATGTCAGCGGATCTATCTCGAACGGATACTTTAATTTCTTCTTTCGCTGCACTATATTGTCAATTTCGGGCAATATTTCTATAATCGGATTTTCAAAACATTTTTCTCCTACACGTGCACAAATATCTGAATATCGAATTTTTTTTCCTTTATCGTTAATTGTTATATTCTTAATAAACTGATCTGCCAAACTTATTTCCAGTAGCACATCTTTTTCGAGCATATCTCCACCACCTTTCTTTGTAAATATCACAAACACACATTTTGGTACGTCTGTAAAACTTGTTGGATCAAGGAATTTCGATGTATTAAAAGGAAAGTTTTCGTCAATGAACTTCTTAGTATTATAGACTTTTCCTGAATCTGCAAATGCCAGTTCGCTTGTGTTTGAGATAGTGTTTATATTGACTATGAATGCTGAAAATGTCGCTGATATTAAAATAGGAAAAATGATAAAGTAGTACGGATGAAGTCCAACTAATCTTCCTAATTTACGAAAAACGATGGATAATCGTTTCTTCACAAAGTCGATTTTCATGTTTTAATTTTTATTATTTTTTTTTATTTTTCCTATAAAAAGTAAAAATAAAACATCATTCAGATAATTATAGAAGTTCAGTTAAAAAATTTTTTATATGACATAACTGTAAAGGTGTACTTCATTTGTTGTCCCATTGTATCTTTTCGCGTTTTCTTAAAAGAAAGTCTTTAAATAAAATCATCGTCTCCAGTGAAGTTGCTAATCCTGAAGTCATACAAAGTGAAAACAGATGAAAGACATTTCTGAAATTATATGCGATAAAAACTTTTTTTTAGATATTTTTTATCATTAAGATAAATTTAATTTAATAATTGATTAAAGTGCAAATTTCGTATTTATTTTAAAATTTTGCACAAAAAAAAACTGTTACATATTTATCCAGACAAGCACTCATTTCATGACTTAAATAAAAGAATATTGTTTAGTTTCAAGCATAGTAATATGCAAATCAGCTTACATATCTTATTGTAATGAAAATTCTTTATGTTGTTCAACGTTTTAAAATGGGTAGAACAAAGAATTTATCTGATTATGAAAAAAGGGCAGTTGATGCCTATAAATCCCAAGGCAAGTCAATAAGAGAAATTGCAGCATATATATATCATCCAATATCAACTGTTGGTGAATATTTATCAAAAAGACGTGGCTAGGATGTACTAAAATTCAAGACAGGTCCAAAACCCAAGCTTTTACCTCGAGATTGAAGACAAATCATCAAGGTTTGCTTCACAAAACAAACATCAGTAAGAAAAATAAAACAAGAATTAGATTTAACTTGTAGCAGCACAACAGCGTGGAGAGTTTTAAATAAATCTCCAACATTAAAATTCAGAAAAAAAGCTATAATTCCACCACTTTCATTAAAGCACAAAAGTTGCAGACTTGATTGGGTACGAAAACACATGACATGGTCCAAAGAATGGATTGAAGTTTTTTCAATCTAATCTTTGGACCATGTCATGTGTTGTTGTGCCCAATCAAGTCTGTAACTTTTGTGCTTTAATGAAGAAAAAATTGTGTTCACTGATGAAAAAAATTCATTTTAGATAGTCCAGACGGTTGAATGTATTATTGGTACGATTTAAAAACCGAAAAACAAATATTTTCAAAACGCCAAATGGGTGGGGGATGAATAATAGTGCGGGGTGCGGTTTGGATTCAATGGAACCACAGATTTAGCATTTATAACTCAAAGAATGAATTCAGATAAGTATCAAAGCATATAAAGTCTTATTTAAGGGTATAAATAAGTTTTTTTCTACTGAAAAGTTCAGTGCCAGCTCTGAAAATAGATTCTTCTGGAATATTATGCAAAGACAAAAGGCCTATCATTCTCAAACTTTATAGAGAATTTTATTTCAATAAAGAAGAGATTGATAGACAGACGAAATTATTGATACAATCGGGAATAATTAAACCATCGTCGTTTCCGTACGCTGTCCCAGTCACATTAGCTAAAAAAAAGAGGGAGAAACTAGACTATGTATAAATTACACGAAGTTAAACAACATGAATAAAATTAACAATGTACCTATTCCTAGGATAGATGAGTTGTTAAATAGACTTATGTATGCGAAAATATTATGTACTGTATACATTTTGTCAGTCTATTAGCATGTACCTTTTCATTCTGAAGACAATAAGCAAACTGCCTTTGTAATGAATTTTGGACACTTTCAGTGGAAGCTTTTGCTTTTGGGCAGTTAAGCTTCGTTTCAGTTAATATTTTAAAATAACTTTTGAGTTACCCGTTAAGTTTCTCGAGAAAAAAATACAGTAAAAACATTTTAAAACAGCAAACAAGTAAATAAGCAAAAATAAAACTAGAAATTTGCAAATAAAACTGTTGTTTACTAGTATAGTACAAGCCTGTCTATTTTGTGCTTTCTGCGCGATATAGGGCCTAAAACTTCAGAAAAGAAATGTATAAGCCACGCAGATGAATAATTTCTAATATGTAAAAGCATAGTGCGTAAAATAAACCCATAATACATGCAAGGAGCAGAAAGTCAAATTAAACAATGGAATATTTAATAATACGTTTACTGAGAAGCGAGAGGAACATAGTTCCATTAATGTAAATATATGGAGAACGAGCTGAAGTCTCTAAGCAAAAAAAAAAATGGTTTTTAAATTGGCATTTATAATTGCAGAAAATTATAATTAACTACTGTCTTGTAGATAAGGAATGTTTTAAAGTGTGACGTTTATACAAATAACGAACAATAAAAATTTAAAAAAAGAATTAACAAAGAACTCTGTCTAATATGTACAAATAAATTTTTGGAAAGTAAAAAATTTCGGCATGTTACAAAAATTAACATTAAATATTTTTATATTAACTTTTTTCTGAAGTTTCATCAGGTTATTTAGTGAACAATAAAGTTTTACAGGAAATCATAAACTTTTACTTTCAGTAAAGCCAGTCTGTCGTTAATTACACGACTTTCCACTGAATCTTATCTACGTTAACAATAAAATCACGTACATGCAACGATCTCCTGTGGTATTTCAAAAAAACGTTAGGTACGTTAAATAATCAATCAGAGACGAGTTTTTATACTCCGATATTATAATCTCTTACAAAATTTGTAGCAATCTATTAAAATATTTCTCAGTGTTTATTGTAAACATATCATAACTTTTTAATTAAAAGTTTTTAACTATTCAAGTATAGTCCTTTAATACTGGTTTAATACGATTAATTGAATTTCTCAACATTAAAGATAAATTAATAAAAATCAACGTAACAAAGGAAGTATAATATAGTACTGTTGGTTTTGCTACACACGAAAAAAACTTTTCAAATTTGATAAGAACCTAATGATTTCGAACGAATTTTTACAGATAAATTTGAATGTTTGCTTAGCCTTTTCTTAATTTTACTTATAAAATATACCAGCAAATAAAAATGTTAATTACTTTATTTGATAGTTTAAAAGTCTTTACAAATTAATTACATTTAACTTATCATTAAAATACATATTCATGACGATGTAACTACGACAAATTAAATAATTACTCACCTTATATTCGGTGTTTATGTATATTATTCGAAATATCTTATGCGGCGTTCAGTTGTACGATCCGGAGCTAATTGTATTTATCAACAGTGTTATAATCATTAATATTTTAATAACGAATTTGCAAGAGAATTTTGTAACTCGAAGATTAAATTCAGACGTTAGACTTGTTAATATGAAAAGGAAATGAATGTTGCAGGAAATTATAAAGTCTCTACGAGGAAAATACTTGCAGTACAAGTTTCATGAACAATATAGCAAAAAAAGGAATCTTTAAAGTAAATTCTAGAATTAATTATCACTGAGCCATGAAAATATATTTGTAAATTAAACCTGAAAATTAAATTGTAAATTAAACACTAAAAATTTTTATTTAAAATAAAAATTTTTAGTGTTCTGCTATTTAGTATTTAAAAATTAAACCGATTACAAATAAATATTTACTTTTCATATTGGATAAAAAAGTAGTAAGAAAAATTAAATCATTAATTGACACTAAATAATAAATTAAATAAAATTTACAATAGAATAATTATATTTGGGGTAACCAAAGTTGAAGCAGGAAAAGACGAAAGACAGAGAATATATTTTTCCTTGTATTTTTCACGTGAAATTGAACTGTAGAAACTCATAACGACTATTAATAATGCAGCTATCCTTGAGTGTAATGTAGAATTTCCATTGTCGTTTCTGTACTTTTTTTATTATTTATAATTTAATACGCTGCTGGCTGATCAGCATAAGAATAATAATAAATATTATTTTAATAATTATTGTACAGTTTCTCTAAAATAAATATATTCCGATTGCCGTTTATCAGCTTTTTCAGATATACTCAGTTAATAATTAATTAAAATTACTAATTTCTTAATTTTAGCATTACGTATTATGTAGGCAGAAACTACTTTTTAGTTGTGTAAATTCATTTTTAATTTCCAACGATAATCAATTTATATAATAAAATGCAAACTTAATTTCAACAAGGAAAACTCAATGATTGAGAGTTTCTTATTGAATTTGTTATTTTTATTATAAAATAAATTAGAAAACAAATAGAATAACGTATTAAATCAATGAATTTCATTTATACAGAAAAAATGCAAAAAATTATATTAAAGCACATTTCTTATTATAAACCTTCTAAATTGTTTTTAAATTTATATATCGTTTACACTTTGCTCCGTCTCAAACCTTCTTAACCAGGATGAGACTCGAATCTCTTAACAGGGATACACCCTACGATGGCGAGTCTTCGATTTTCGAAAAACTTAAAAGTTTTTTTTTTCATCGCATTGGTGTTTATTGTTTCTTAAATATCGATAGACAGATGTACAGTACATTTTATCAGACCTATTATCCTGTCTTGGAGGTTGAATTATGACGTAATTTACATGAAAATTAAACTTGTTCTGTCGCGAAATAATATAATACTTGTTAAAAAGCTATATTCTACATAAAATAAAATTTAATAGGAAGTATGCACTCGAATATCATTTCCAGCAATTTACTCATAAAATATTATATATGAAAAGTTATCTTAATCATATCTTATTATCGGTTTATCAGAAATGTGGTGCTCTATTTTTAGATAAATAGTCGACACGATACTAGGTTTTTTGAAAAAAATCGAGAACAAATCTAATGTTACATTTTTTACGAATAAAAATATTATCATGTTCAAAAAAATCCACTAACCTGTTGCTTATTATATTGGTGTCTCTATCTGTTATCACATTGTATTAAATAACTTTATATTTTTAACTATTATGAAATGAATAAAGCTTAATTTCTTGAAAGAATCGAATTATGTAAAAAATTCTAAAGGCAAATAAAAAGAAAAATCGTCGTTAAGTTCGTACCTGCTGGTAATACACACCACCTCTTGTATTTTTTCACTTCTTCGACTTTTCATAAATTTAACTATTTTTATCCCTTTAACAAATTAACTTCCCTACCAATTTTCGATAATTTTCTACAAAAAGCACAGGATTTATTAAGCTTTACGAGGATAAACAAAACCAAAAAACATACACACAAACACTCATACGTATAGAAATTATCTCCAAATCTTTTAGCATTTTACTACATTAAAATCAAGGATAGCTACATTATTAATATTCTTTATGCGTTTCTTCGCTTGTATTTCACAGAAAAGAAACGAGGAAAA